ATCTTTATGAAGAAAAGCATTATGAACATCCATTTGGTGTAAGAACCAGTCACGAGCAAAGGCAATGGATAAAAACTACCTTACAGTAACATGTTTGGCAACGGGTGCAAATGTTTCTTAGTAATCAAAACCTTCTCGTTGTGTGAAACCTTTTGCCATTAGTCGAGCTTTATATCGTCTGATGGAACCATCTACTCGATATTTGATTTTGAACACCCATTTGCGGCCAATGGGTTTCCTATGGGTGGGGTGAGGTACCAGATCCCAAGTGTTATTATGAGCTAGGGCATTCAGTTCATCTACCATTGCCTTCTGGCACTAAATATGTTGGATAGCTTTTGAATAGTTGGATGGTTCACGGTCAGCAGAAATTTGGTTGATACAAACTCTGTGTGTTGGAGAAAGACAATCATAATTGACATAATTGGAGGATGGATATAGTGTACTTGATAAATTTAGTATGGTAGGGCAAACATAATCTAATGTCCAGATAGGTGGTCGGGTGGAACGAGTTGACCGTCTTTGAGGATAAATTAAAGGTGGGACAAGAGATTCTATTTGTGTGGTTGAGGGTATTTCAATAGATGGAAGGGAGACTGTTTATGGAGACGTGGGAGTAGGTTGGTGCTGATGTTATGGTGTAGTTTCTAGTGATGGTAAATTGGTAGTAGGGATAAGAAGTATTGCAAACTGAGGACATGTTGGAGATTCCTCTTCAAGAAACATGGGTGACTTTGTTAATGGAGTTGGAGTGGCATCATTTGTAACAAAAGGAAACTGGTCTTCATGAAAAATAATATCTCTGGAAATAAAAAAACTTATCTGCTGTGGGATTATAGAGAAGATATCCTTTTTGTAACATTAGATATGCCATAAAAATGAACCGAGTAGCCTGTGGTCCGAATTTGTCATGAGACCCAACAATTGCAGAATAACAGAGACAACCAAAAACTCGGAGATGATTGATTTTGGGTGCTTTACCAAACAATACCTCATAATAAGGACTTTTCCCACCAAGAACACGGGTTGGCATCCGATTGATCAAGTATGTGGCAGTGATCACACATTCTCTCCAAAATTTAATGGGAATGTTGGCTTGGTGTTTAAGGCTCTGGCTACTTCTAATAGGTGTCTATGTTTTCTTTCTACTACCCCATTCTACTGAGGAGTGTATGTGCAAGAACTTTTGTGTAGAATGCCCAGTAACAAAAATAATGAGGAACCCTGATGACTAAAAAATTCTAGACCATTATCAGTTTAAACCCTTTGAACTGATGATTTGAATTGGGTGGTCACCATGGATATAAAATTCCTCTTGTGAGTGAGGGTTTGTGTTTTTTACTGCATTAGGAATACCCATGTGCCCCCGGAGAAATCATCTACAATGGTGAGGAAAAACCTAGACCCATCATGATTTTGAGTGTGATATGGACTCCATATATCAATATGGATGAAGGCAAATGGCTATGTGATAGTAGAAGTGCTATGAGGAAAAGTGATGCGAGATTGTTTTGCTAAAGGACATATTAGGCATTTTGGTTATGGAATAGATGCACTGTGACCTAGTTTTTGATGGAGAATAAATGAATTTTTATTGATATTTGTATTACATTGAAAAGTTTTATTGTTTGTAATACAATGGAGAAATTTATTAGAAGAACTATCGGAAATCTAGTAATACAGGCCACTAGTTACTCTACCCAAGCCCATTAGTGTCCCAGTCAAAAGGTCTTGAAATTCATATGTATTAGAGTGGAATTTTAGAATACAGTGATTATCGGTGCAAATTTTTGACTTGGATATGAGGTTGAATTGAAAATCTGGAACAAATAGGACATTCTTAAGGATGAGATGTTTACTGAGTTGAACTGTTCTTATATGTGTGGCAAGTGCTATATTCACATTTAGCATGCGAATGAAAATGGATGATGTATTGGAATTATGGGTAAAAAAATTTTGGTTACAAATGATATGATCACTAACCCCTGAATTAATAATCCAATTATAATCCATAATTGAATTTAAACAATAAGATGAACCTGCATAGAAAGCCAAGGACGTTTGTGGGAGTTGATTCATCATTTGAAGCAATTGATCGTACTGTTCTATGCTGATCATGGGTGTAGAAATTGGATTTCCAACAGGAATAATGTTGACTTGGTGAACAATTGAATTACCAGATTTTTCAGTAGGGCCTCCATGTAATTTCCAGCATTTATCTTGGGTGTGACTCCGCTTTTTGCAATAGTCGCAAAAAAAAATTATTTTTCCCAATTTTGTATGATCCGGGCCCATTTGACCAGTTTGCCCAGTTTTACCCATTTTGCCATGTTGACTTTTGGTTGGACCATTAGACCAAGCTAGCCCATTTGGCCCATCTTTCCAATTTGAAGTATTAAGTGTATTGGACCCAATGGACCATAATGATGATGTGGTAGCATGTGGGCTGTTGGATTGGTTATGAAGAGAGATCAATTGAGGGCTGTTGGATTGCTGCATTTGAGCTGGACCCTTGGTTGCTTCATATAAAACAGGAGCTTAAGAAAGGTTGTGGAACCTTAGCCATAAGTGTTTCGCTGAAATTGGAGCACCCAAGCCATTCTGGCAAGTGCTGACGAAGGCAATGGTGTCGCTAGATCGAGAGCCATTTGTGACAACACGTCGTTGGCTCTTTTCTTGCACAACAAGCTGGAAAACCCAACGAAGATCTAATAGTGGAGTTGCGACAAGGATTTGTGTCTGAAATGCCAGAAAAGCTTCATTGAGACCCAAAAGGAAACAACTAAGTCGTTCTTGATCGCAAATCCTTTGGAATTGTGTGAGGGTTGTCGACGGTCCTTCAAGCTTTTCTTCGGCAACATCTAATTCATGCCATATAGAAGAGAGTTTGTTATAAAATCACGGTTGCATTGCCTTGATTGATTTCGTCGAGTTGTTGTCAGAAAGTGTAAATTTTGGCCAAATCGAGTTTTCTATACATGTCCCTAATGTTTCGCCACATTTCTGCAACTATTTCAGTCGGTGACAGTCCAACCACCACTTCAAAAAACAAACAGTTGTTGAGCCAAGATCTCATAAGCATATTACACCTCCAATAATGATGAAGAGGTGAATCCAAAGGTGGTGGTGGGATGTTGCCATCGACAAAGCCTTCTTTGTCTATAGTGACGAAGGGTTGCCGGAAATCTATTGCCCACGTTGACTAGTTTTCGGATCCTATTAACTGCTACTTGATGAGTGTAATTTTCAGTCTATCGGAGGCTGGGGAGAAGAGGACAACACCTAGTTCAGGGCGGTGATTGGTGGATTGAACCATTTGGAAGGTGAAAGGATACGGGTATTGACCCGTGGGTTGAGTTGAATCTAGGTTCTAACCCGACATACCAAAGGGAAATGGGTTTGTGCTTGTTGTGAGAGTTGGGCCAGTTGTTGTGGTGAGCCATTTGTGGGATTTGGGCCATTTGTGGGGTTTATGGTGTTTGGGCTTGGGGTTGGGCCTGTAGTTGTGGTGTTTGGATTTGTTTCATTGTGGGTTGGTTCAGCAATGCGTGTGTTGTTTGTCATTGAAGTGTTTGATCTAATAACTTTCTGGAAATTGATTTTGGTGATTGACGAGTGGAATTTTGAGAGAAACTAATAGAGTTTCTATTTGCATTTGCAGGGACAAAAAAAAAGATAAAGTTGCGGAAGCTAAAAGAAGTGTAGTGGCTCTGATACCATGTTAGAGTATGGCAAGAAGAGAGGCAAAAGAGGCAGAGGAACAAAGATACTAGAGCGCCTAGAAGATAAGAGAATAGAAGATGAAAGAATATTTCTTTTCAGTATATTTCAGCATTGTAATGTGTTCAATTTATACAAGTTTACAAGTGTAAAATATGGAAATAGAATTAAATACAATCAATGTAATTACATGAAATCTGTAATTGTAATTCCATGAGTCAAGCTAGAATAGTTTTAGCCTTTAATTAAGCCCAGATCACAGCACTCTGTAATAATCACATTCCATCAGGGTGAATCCTACTCCCCAACGGCAATTCAAGTTTATAGGCAACCTTCCTAAATTTTTGAAGAATCTTGAAGGGCCCATAAAATCTGGCTATTAACTTGTGCATCTTCTTTCTAGAAACATAAAGTTGCTGAAAAGCTTGCAATTTGAGATACACCTATCTCGAACAGAAAATTATTGTTCCCTATGCTTAAATTGTATATTCGCTTCATTTGATTTTGCACATTTGCAATCTTCTCACAAACATCTCTGATGATGGCATCTCGACTAAGCAGCTCTTGCTCAACAGACTGAAGTTTAGCTGTTCCTAAAACGTACGTAAGCAAAGATTCCCTTCCATAAACCACCTTAAATGGTGTTCTTCCGGTTGAGGAATGAGAGCTTATATTGTAACAATACTCAACCCATGACAACCACCTTTTCCAAATCTTTGGATAAGGGCTAGAAAAACACCGTAAATACATCTTTAGACTTTTGTTCACCACCTCAGTCTAACCATAAGTATGAGGATGATAACCTAAACTAAAATTGAAAGCAATCCCATTCAATCTAAATAATTCCTTCCAAAAAGAACTTGCAAAAGCTCGATCTCGATCACAAGCAATAGATCTTTGCATCCCATGTAAACGAAAATTTTCATTAAAGAAAATTTGAGCTATACTTACAGCATTATATGGGTGAGAAATCACAATGAAGTAGGCATATTTGGATAACCTATCTACCACCACATATATAGTTGTTTTTCCAGCCAAATTGGGTAAACCATTTATGAAGTCCATAGATATGTCTTCCCAGATTCGTTGTGGAACAGGTAGGGGTTGCAACAAACCAGCAGGAGAGAGGTTCTCAATCTTATGCCTTTGGCAGACATCACATTCTTGAATAAATTTCAAGATTTGTTTCCTTAAGTTTTTGCCGTAAAATTAGCTCTGATTTGATGAAGAGTTTTGTGGAACCCCTTATGAGTACTAATATGAAACTAATCAATGATTACCTGCAACGAAGGAGAATCTTCATCCAAGTAAATTTGATTTTTGAAATATAACACTCCTTCTTGAAATGCCCAAGGACCCACGACTTCACCCTTTTGAACCAAATGAATGATACTCTGAATGTTGGGACTAGTGGCATGCTCCGTTTTAATTGTCTCCAACCAGCTAGGAATGGGCTGAGAAATTGCTAGTAGGCTCCTTTCAGAATCTTCCTCATATTTCCTCGACAAAGCATCTGCAACAATATTCTCCTTTCCTTTTTTGTATTCTACAACAAAATCAAATCCCAATAGTTTAAACAACCACCGTTGTTGGGTTGTCGTAGTAATCTTTTGCGTCCACAAATACTTCAAGCTTTGATGGTTAGTTTGAACAATGAATTATCTTTCAAGCAAATAAGGTCTCCACTTCTGGACTACAAGGACCAAAGCTAGAATTTCTTTTTCATAAGTAGATAAAAATAAACTGCGTCCTTGTAGTGCTTGGCTAAAAATTGTGATGGGTCTCTCTTGTCTCAATATAGCACCAATACCAGATCCAGAAGCATCACATTCTATCACATTTTTTTTTTGAAAAATCTAATAAAGCCAAAACTGGAGCTCGAGTCATGGCTTCCTTCAATTGACAAAAAGCTGATTCTACACCAGTAGACCATGTGAAACAATCTTTATTAAGCATTTTAGTGAGGGGGCTAGCTATCTTGCCAAAATTTTGGATAAACTTTCTATAGTAACCACAAAGTCCCAAAAATCCTTTCATGGCTTTTGGTGTAGCTCGTTTTGGCCAATTTGTGATAGCCTCTATTTTTTCAGGATCCACTACAACTCCATGGTTAGCAATAATATGGCCAAGATATCTAACCTTTTTCTACCCAAAAAGACATTTCTCCTTTTTTACAAATAACTGATGAGCTCGTAAAATTGAAAAAAACAGTCTCCAGATGCTCCAAGTGATCATCCCAGTTTTTGCTATAAATCAAAATATCATTTAAAAAAAAAAAAAAAAAGAACAAATTTTGGGAGATATACTTTAAATACCTCGTTCATGAGGGATTGAAATGTGGAAGGTGCATTGGTCAAGCCAAATGACATTGCCAAAAATTCATAGTAGCCTTGATGAGTACAGAATGTCGTTTTATCAATATCAGGTGATGGACACGAACTTAATAATAGCCTAACCGAATATCTAATTTTGAGAAAAATTGCGCTTCATGTAACTAATCTAATAATTCATCAATTATTGGAATTAGAAATTTTTCCTTGATTGTTATCTTGTTCAACACCCTATAATCAACACACATCCGCCAAGAGCCGTCATACTTTTTAACAAGGATCACTGGTGAAGAATACAGACTATTGCTGGGACGAATCACTCCAGATTGGAGAAGATCTGCCACAATTTTTTCTATTTCTGCCTTGTGGAATTGAGGGTACCTATAAGGTTTTAATGAAACTGGATCACATCCCTTTATCAAAGGAATTCGATGGTCCTGAATCCGAGAGGAGGGTAAAGTGTTTGGTTCATGGACCATCTCTTTGTTTTCATTAAGCATATTTCGTATCTTTGCTAGAATCACCCATTGACCAATAGCCTGAATTAGATCTGCATGCAGCTTGAGGAAGACACCCAAATGGTTTTTGCGGCTGAGCGATTGGACTTGTGGATTGTCAACCACTTGATTTCAGACGTTATAGCTCCTTGTAATGTGACCTCACGATTGCATGTGTTAAACCTCATAAGGAGTTTAGAGAAATCCCATGTGATGGGACCAAGGGTTTGAAGCCACTATGTCCCAAGCACCACTTCACACCCTTCTAAGGGTAGTAAGAATACATCAACTAGCAGTCATGCACCTGGAAGGAGAAGTGGGACTTGTTGACATTTACCTTGACTCTTAAGTCTCTCACCTGAGGCCATCAACACTTCAAAGCATCATCCCCTCATTAGTTGCAAATCAATCTTAGTAGTGAACCCATCATTAATAAAATTATGAGTGCTCCTAGAATCAAATAAAATAGTAGCAAAATGTCCACATATCTTTCCCCTCATTCACATGGTCCAAGGATTGGGAGTACCTGCTAATGCATGATTAGAGATAGCTGGAATACTAGGAGAATCTTGGTTTTCTACCTCCACTTCCACATCTTCGTCACTTTCATCAAGCACTGCCTGTATAGAAAAAAGTTTTTTACATATGTGACCTGGTCCAAATTGCTTGTTACACCGAAAGCACAATCCCAACTTCCTTCTTTCATTTACCTCTTCAACACTTAATCTTTTGATTGTAGACGACGCGGTTGTACTTGCTGGACGTGTAGGAAGACCTCCTCACTTTGGCGTCATATGCATTTTTTGTTGTGTAAGTGACTTTGCTTCATAGAGGCATGCAAGTTCGATTGCTTTTGATAGAGTTCTCGGTCGTCTTACTTGAACTTCAGTGCAAATCGAGTCTTGAAGACCACTTACGAAACAACTAACCTTCCGCTCTGGTGCTAACCGTCCTACCTTCGAGAGGAGCTTTTCAAATTGCACTTGATCAGCCTAGACGCTTCTCTTTTGCTACAGTTTGGTAAGCTCTCAAAAAAATTCTAAGTACTAATTTGGTCCATACCTTGCGTGGAGACCTTCTTTGAAGTCATCCCATGAAACTTCAGGCTTATCTTCCTTCAAAAGTTGGAACAACAACTAGGTTTCATCTTCTAAATGAAAGGAAGCAAATGGAAACTCATTCCTCGTCAGGTGTTTAGTGGAAATTAAAGAACTGTTCATCTCTACAAGCCAACTTATGAGGTCCTCTTCTCCCTTGAACCGTGGAAAGTCCAACCTCATTGGTTTAACGGTGTAGGCCGATAAAGAATTACTGTTTGTCGATGTTGTCCGACTATGGGAACCTTTAGCCGAAGAGGTATCTCCTTCCCTACGACGCCGAGACACTCCAGCTGAAAAGGTATCTCCTTCCTTACGAGGTTGAGACGATAACTGATCTATCTTTGAAAGGATTTCATTCAGCTGGTCAGCAAGTGCTTGTTGTCCCCCTGAGAGAGAATGAACTTGTTTAGCGAGTGCTTGCTGCCCATCGAAGAGGGAATAAACTGTAGTCTCTAGATTTCCCATTCGTTGCTCCATACCTTCTGCCAAGCGCTTATACCAATCTGTAGCGTGTTTCTTCTTAGGCCCTATGGTCACCAAAAGAAGTTAAAGAATGGAGTTGGAAAGAAGTAGATTTTGATCAATTGGGAGGTGATCTGGCCTCTGTCAAGATAAGTCTTGAACGAAGTTTAGATTCAAAAAACCGATCTCTCTTATTGCAACAACTTAAATTTATACATTTATTTGCAACGTTCGACCATGAACGTGAGCTAAAGATTAGCAACAAAAAGCATAAAAATAGCAACAGAGTAACAAACCTACTTTTAAGGGAACCAACCCTTGATAACCACATCCAAAACATATCAAATAAATCAAGAAATATCAAATAGCTGCTGACTTCGTCGTTGGCTTGATTACGATAATTGCGGCAACAATAGAAAAACAAGCCGTAGCCCACCCACACATAACACAACTTGATAATTTGTGGTGGTTTATGGCTGAGTTTGTGGTTGTTTTGAGGTGGGTTTGGTGGTGGCATGGGGCTAAATTTGTGGGTTGCTTGGTGGACGCATAGGGCTTACTTTGTGGGTTGTTAGGTGGTAGCATAAGGCATTGAATTTGTGGTTGAGTTTGTGGGTGATTTTTTGGCTCGGTTTTTGGTGGGTTTGGTGGTGGTTTGTGGGCGAGTGTGTGGTGGTTGTTTGGCAGTGACGTGGGGTTGAATTTTTAGATTGTTTAGTGGCGACATGGGGCTGAATTTATGGGTTGTTTAGTGCCAACGGTATTTTAATGGTAAGGGCTTATTTAAGACTTTTGGAAAATTGTTGTGCCGCGTGAAACTTAGGTATTTCACCCTTGGGGTGTGATCCCACCTGGAGCTCGTCAAGCGCCCATCTTGTCTCGGTAGGACAGTATGTAACATCATCTTTTGATAGTACGAGTCATCTCAATGCACACATGAGGCTATGGTATGCCACACCACCCACATGTCTACCCTTGGGATGGTATACTTATCACTTGATAACCATACACAACCGGTAGTCTACCCTCGAGGTGTCATGATATGGTATCAAATAGAACCTTGCCCACAGTCTACTCTCGAAGGCGTAAAAAATCCCACACTAGCCAATAATCGCCTAGTGTAATTCTGCCTAAAGCTTGTCAAGGGCCTGTCAGTAGGATATTGTAATTGTTCAGTAGGACGGACCATCTCAATGCTGCGTGCATGAGGATAAGTATAAGAGTGCTAGCTAATGTCTGAAGGGGGACAAGTATTGTAAAAGGGTGGTTTCAAATCCAACCAAACATATCCTTATACACTTGCACGAATATTCAAACGCATCGCACTTCATGAATACCCTTATGCCGATGCATGTAATAACGTCTCATAATTCTCTTTTAAAGATGGCATGTAAATATGGGCACAAAGCTCGAAACTTCATGAAATTTATAATCATGCAAAATATCCGGTTACACCCAATATTTGTGCTTCATTTTTTAGTCCCAAACTTTTTGAATCTTTTCAACCACTAACCCTTTAAATCCTAACAGTTAACCCCCTATACTTTTAAACATTTCCAGTCAACCCCCATTTGCCCCTTTCAAAATAAAGGAGGGGAGTTTCCCTAAGGCACAAACCCAAAGAATGAAAAAGAGTTTACAAAAGAAATTGGGCCATATTATTAATAGGCCAACCCACCAAATAGTAAAAATCAATTCCCAACAATTAACTGGGCCTTATTAATAAGCTAAAAGGTAGCGCACCATATATAATAAATCCAACACCCAACAAATAATTGGGCCTTATTAAAAAGTTAAAAGGCTAGCCCACCATATATAATAAATCCAATACCCAACAAATAATTGGGCTTATTAATAAGCTAAAAGGCCAGCCCACCCTATATAATATAAACTCAAGTTAAAAGCCCATCAACTAATTTAACAACCAGCACTAACACAGTATGCTACCAATTTCTGAAATTTTTATATACAATAATACTATACTTACAAAAAAATCTTACAAAGATTTCCATACAAAGTGATGTGGCAAAAAATGAATGGAATGGTGAAACAAAAAGTCAAACTCATTAAATTCACTCATCCATTCATTTTTTACCACATCACTTTGTATGAAGATCTTTATAAAATTTCTTTGTAAGTATAGTATTACTCTTTTATATAATAATTTCATACTTCCTAATAACTCTTACTAACAGCTATACCGACTGATATGGAACCGGCGTGGCAGGTGCCACCACATCCGCAATGTCACTCAAATGCGTTCCCTCCAAAAACTGAAAAAAAAAAAAAAATTAATCTAACCTTAAAATAAATCTAAAAAATGGATTTTGAGATTTGATTTAATTTAGGGTTAAAAATGGAGATTTGTTTTGATTTAAAAATCTAAAGAGTTTCTTTTCAAAGATTGTTTGGGCTTCAATATTAACAAACACTAAATTGATCATTTTTCTATGCAAAATAAATAAATATCAAATATGGTAAACTTTTCAAAATTGTTTATCCTCAAAATTAATATCTTAAATGGATAGGTTAGTTATAAAATATTGTATGGGATATTTAGTAGCAAGATTAGTGAGTGAAAAGATGGTCAACAAGAGTAGACCAAATATTTCAGCCATTTGAAAAAGCACAAACGCATGTTGTTAGAAATATATACATATATAAATCCTACACCAATTACAACTTTCAAAAGCTGGTTACAACCCAACCATAAAAGCACTTTCTCCTACCAAACAAACCAGACAACATAAAAAGCCCATTTGCAATTTCCAAAAACCTTTTTTTTCTTCCTCACTCTTCGCATCCTAGTTCTGTGTTCATCTCCTTCACACAATTTTGGAGTTTTTCTTCACATATGTTTTTACCAACAAAATATTAAGTCAAAAAAGCTATAAAATTGTTGTAACATTCTTCTTCCTCTACTATGGCCTATGAAAGGAAGGTCTCTGTAAACCAAATCGTACCTGTAACAGTTTCTACTAAAACAATCTCTACTGTTATTGGTACGATTTGGTTTATTGAAACCGCTTCTCCATAATTTATGCACTTTGTGTTGGGGACCTTGTTTCCTCATCTCTCATCATCTTATTTTGTTACCATTCTAATAGAATCAAGGTCCAAGCTGTAGTAGTGTAGTGTTATTTCTTTTCTTTTTTTTTTTTAATATTGAGAGATCCTTTTATACAATTTTTTTTTTTTAATATTGTGAAATTTGTTTATACAGAGAAATAGGATGCGAAGAGTGAGGAAGAAAAAAAAGGGTGGAGATGTGTTAAGAAGCGTAGGATGAGACACGTGAAGAAATGGGTAAATGGGTACAAAAAGTATAGTGAATTTCCATGAAGACAACATGACGTGGCATGTTGTGATTGCAAAAATGGAGGGTATAGATGAACTTTGAGAACCGTCCTACATTGTGCCAATAACCTTTAAAACTGAGTAGTTTGAATGAATATGACTGAAATTGCGAATGGGCTTTTTCTAGTGTCTAGTTCATTTGGCATGAGAAAGAGCTTTTATAGTTAGGTTGTAACCAGCTTTTGAAAGTTGTAATTGGTATATTTCTAACAACATGCGCTTGTGCTTTTTCAAAAGGCTGAAATATTTGGTTTACTTCTTCTGTAAGATCTGACCATTAATGGTGATAGAATCAAGCTTTTTTTTTTTTTTTTCAGTTAAACAATAATATAACTTAAATTCCTATAAGTTGAACTTCACATCTAGAGGTATTTTTGGTTGGTTTTTTAATTTATTTTTTTAACTGTAAAACTGAAAAGCACTTCCCTCAAAATATGATTCAAGACTCAAAGCATGAGTGGATCTTCTAGGTTAATTTCACAGTTGCTTGTTGAACCAGTTTCTCTATTTTCCAAACAAACCTCAACCCATTAACCTCTAAAAATAAGCCAACTCAACAATACAAGTCCTTTGCCTGTCAAAACTGTAGATGTTTCAAATTTTCAGAAATATTATATCTGCTCAAAGCACAAGAAATAACCCACGTTATAATTTCAGTGGTGTAATAAAAGAATAAACAACATGTTCCCACCCAAGGTTTAGCGAAATGACAAGTTCCCACCCTGCTTTCATAAATTCCATATTACCACCCTTAAATTAATAGTTTATGTTTCATTTAACGGTCAAAGGGTAAAGTAGTAATTTATATTACATTAAATCTGAAAAGATTGAAATGAAAATGAAAATAACACTCCATATTTCAAAGGGTTTGGGTGAGGAATTTTGTCAAACAAGTGGTGGGCGAGTTGGTTGTGGGAAGGTTAGAACTGATGGGGAGTCGTCGGTGACCAGATAATTACACACAACAGTAATCAAATATCAACAACAATCAGTAGGGAGCTATAATCAATGGAGAAAAGGCAGCGAGCTGCACCAAGTCAGTGCAAAATCTGGGTCGTCATTCCAAACTCTTAGTTATCCTTTGACTGTGCATGTGTATTGTTATTGCTCGCATGAATTAACTTTTCAGATTGTTCATCTTCGGTGGCCCAAAGCGACATCCAAAAGGTGAAGGGGTTCAAATGAAACCAAACCAAAACAACAAAAAACACTTGAGGAAGAAGATAAAGGAAAACCAAAAGGTCACCACTGTTTGGTGCCAAATTCTTTTTAGTTAGTTGAAGTAAAAAGGTTTGCAATAAATATAGTGCAGGTCATTCTACAATTGAATATTTCGATTGGGTAGAGGCTCTTCACTTCACTTATTACATGTTACCTAACCCATTGGTCATTTTAATGCTTTATTAATAAACAAGAGGAAATAAGTGGTTCTAAATATTTTCAGATCTTTATAACTGTTCAAATGTCATTATGTTATTGAAGATTTTATTAACTTGGTTGGATGGTGATAATGGCTGGGTGGCGATGGTGCAATGGCTAAGGGCGGCAGTGGCAGTAGCTGGGTTTTTGGTGATGGGGTGATGTAAATTGATCTTTTTCTATGCAAATAAATAAATATCAAATATGGTAAACTTTTCAAATAGGAAGATATCCCACTA